CAAGTTTTAAGATGAATTAACATTGAGAACGAAAATAAATAATGAAAAATAAAWTTAATGGGAGAAAATTTAAGAAAAACTTGTCTTGGCATAATGGTAATAATGCTTATAATTGTATTTGAGGTTGTGAGTTTAATCTTTTTAACACTATAYTTTTGTTGTTAATATTTTAAAAAATAACATTGTCTGACCTGAGTAAAYGCTCCGGGTCAGCCCTGAAGCCTAAAATTAAAAGATAATTTTTTTAAACTAAGATTCAAACCTATGATCTCTTATATCTATATAGAKGAGCGATCAWATGCAAACCATCCAATTTGTACAAACCATACATACCTCATTCAACCAATCATAATTTTTCATTTTGTAAATTTTTTTGTAATTATGAGAGGTTCATTAATCATTTTTATTTTGAAGGGTATTAATAATGGATATTATCATCTTCATTATTTTAATTTTAGAGAAATACAWGAAACAGTTTCATCAAAATTTCATTAAGTATTATAAAACAATTTCATAACCATATATGAAACAAATTCATCAAAAAAAAGTATTATATGAAACAATTTCATGAAAAAAATTATAAGATTAAATAATGAAATCGACGGATAAGGGTGGTTGGCACGGTTTGTACAAATTGGGTGGTTTGTATTTGATCGCTCCTATATATATATATATATATATATATATATATATATATATATACACACATATATATAAAGTGACAATCTAACCATCTCATCCATGTTTAATTTATGTGATAGATTTGGTTTCAAAAAATTCAAAGGGCACCACTCAAAATCAAGTACGATGCACCTTCAGATGRCTAAAATTTTCTTCTTGTAATAGGTCCCCCACTACTTATAAGCATGTTGTTTTTGTAGTAATCATGCTATGAGTGAAGGTGTTGAAAGGTATTGCTAAAATGTTGCTAGAATATGTGTCCCCCCGGTTACTTGGAGAAAACAAAAAACGGACATGGTGAGATCACAAAAGGTGGTTTATGAATAAGGAGTTCACAAGGAAAGTGTGCTCCTTATCTCGGTCTCAAGAATGCAAGTTAACATAAAAGATTAAGGGAAGGAACATGGATTTTGAATAATTTGATTATGTATATTACTCGATCAACCATATAGTCGATTTCCATTTTGTAATGGTGTAAAAACTTATATGGATAATGTAATTAAAGTTCATCATCCTTTAGTATAAATGAATGTWAAGAATATTTTTATCCTTGTATGTTAGAGTGTCCAAACTTATTAGAAACTATCTTTTGAATTATGCAAATTTTGGCTTATTGAGCCTACTTGTACTCACATTATCTAAGATGTGATGGCTTATTGATGATGTCTTACCTAAATTGCCTTAAATACCCTCAACTGTTTCCATCATATTAGTTGCAAACGGCTTAATTCCTTTGCAACCTCTTACAATTATAAAATATCAATCTCCTCATAGTGTTTAAATACAAAGTATGGAGGATGTTTCAATACAACCTCAKAGTTGCAAACAGTTTATGGGTKATATCCTATTTCAAGGATTTAAAGGAGATTTTGAGTTTGGAAATGAGATTGAAAAGAACTGATTGTTCTTGAGTTTCAAAGTTTTAAAGATAAAACTGTTTTGATACCATTATTGGTTAAAAACTATAGACGATATTCCTTCAAGACKATTGTGACTTCGGTCTGTCTTCGTTTGGGATTAATCTATAGATTTTGTGGATAAAACTATGAAGGATGTTTCATCAAGACGGTTGTGACTTTGGTCTGTCTTTGTTTGGAACTAATTCGTAGATTTTGATGAGGAAATAAGAGTGACATATCAAGGAAAGATGTATCATGGGATAAGAGTGACATATCAAGGAGAGATGTACCTTCGATTATAAGGGTGACATATCAAGGAGAGGTGCACCTTCGGATATAAGGGTTGCATTTGTGTGTGGAATTATTATAGCTCTTGTTATTATGTCTCTTAAGATTACAATAGATTTGAGTTCTTACTTCTTTGTGATTTGAGGACTCAGAGATGTTGTTCTTATTAGAAATAATGGTATTGATGTTATTGAGAAGGGGGAAACTTGGCCTATGGCCAATGGTTTTGGATAAACTCTGTTTTGGAACAAGTGTTTTATTTAAGAGGAACCAGAAAAGGCTCTGGTTGTTCCTTGAAAGAAACCAGAGGGGCTCTGGTTGGTCCTCATAGTAGAACCAGAGGGTTTTGGATGATGATTTGAGATTTATACAAGTCTTTTACTAAAGTTTTAGTTAAACAGAGGCTTTGTATCTATTAGATAAGAGCTCTGTGTCTAAATCATACTTTAAAAAGATATTTCAAAGATTTTTACACTTAGAAACTTTTCATACAAATAAAGACAGACCAGAAGGGCTCTGGTTGGCCTATGCGTTGGACYAGAGGCTCTGGTTGGTCTTGCATTTTGAGCCAGAAGCTATGGCTAGTAGAACCAGAGCTCTGGTCATACAAGATCCTTTTAAAATKTGTTTTTATACTTGGAAAAGMTATTTTACTACCTATGATGTTGGTCTATAAACGTTTTGAAAATTTTACTTAAGTAAGAAGCTCTGGTRGAGGAACYAGAGGAGCTCTGGTTCTCTTGCTTGCTAAAATATTTTCTAAGTCTGGTCTTTGGWACCAGAGGTCCGATGGACAAGCAGAATGTGAATTTACACTACATTATGTGAAATGACTTATTTGAATAATGTTTTGGTGATTCTCACCTTGYARTTACATGGAAAAAGGGATCTCACYAGATCTCCAGGTCTAACCCTCATTTTGTGTTTCAAATATATGTTGTWGGAAATGCATAATGATAGTAAGGGAAAGGGRAAAATGTGAATTGTTTCCCTATGTGCTTARCTATATGAAGATCAATGGATGTATTTTTGATGTTAGATGATATGTAATACAAGAGCATATTTTRGAATTTTTGGGTTGTRTATTTTGTAATATAGTTCTTGTACTTTGCACCTTTGTGGGATTAAACAAGTATTCTKTGAATGAAATATGTGTTATCTGCAATGTGAGTTTTGGGGTGTTACATTCACATTGATATTATACCAAACTTTGATTTCAGTCATTGATACTAATACATGTATGCATCGATTCAAAAGTCAAATCCTAATATAAAGGTAAAAAAGCTGAATTGAACATCAACATTCAACAATCTACAACTCATAAGACAARGGGATCCTTTAAAACCATCAAAGCATAATCATTATCAAATTGCTAGGCATAATCACCATAAATCTTTCTCACTTTTGGATGATCAATCCAGACAATGAAAGGACATTTAGACCATGCATGATGAAGGATAAACATTTTGCAACAAATCAAAACAAAGGTTGGTAAAAATAGAGCAACAACATCTTCTCATTGGATTTTGATTTGATTTTGTCCAAGATGTTTTAAATATCACGCTTCTTCCACAGTGGCGTAACYTTATGGAGATTTTCTTCTTTTAGTTAAGACAAAAGAGAAATGAGTCGTTCAACATCAGAATGTTGGAAATGAAAGAGATGAGAGAAAAGAAGATACACGTGTTTATAAGTTTCATTATTGTTTGAAAAATAATACTACATTGCCCTTAGCTAAAACGGACATTATAGGTACATGCTTCAATTAATGCACAAAAAAAACAAATGAACTAACCGAAGCTACATATTAATCTACATTATGAAATGTGTTATGTCAGTTTTCAAAAGAAACAAAGCTTATAAGTTATAGATGTACGATTCTAAATGAACACTCCCTACTATTTTTATCTCACACATATCATGTTTCACTTTTTACATTTCAAAACCCAATTTGATATATCTGGGTGCATATAGTAACACTCGTTATAAAATATATTGAGAGGCATTTAGTACATGGGACAGATTGAGACTGGACATAATAAAGAGTTGTTGCCTTATGTTTGACGCGACATTAGACTGATAAAAAAAGAAACCGAGTGAGACAAAAAGCATTTGTCATATCATAAATATATGGAATAAAAATTAAAGAGATAAATAAGATTGATAAAATACTRAATTGTCCATGTCAAATTAAAACTTTAAGAGAAACCCACAAGTACTACAAATTTTTTAAAATAGAGAAACAAGAGTTGAAATATATCTAAAAAACTTACACTCAACTTCAAAAATATTTTGTAAATTTATCATCTTAGTACACTTCAAATAAAATAATAATACATTCAACCTCATGGAGAAGGATCGTGTGAGAAGGAGATTAAGGTGAAAAGTATAAGAAATGATCTGAACCTTTGATCACCTTTAATCTCAACTCACCCATGAATTGTGCTTGATACGAAGATTGATCCGGTACATCTCATCCTAATGTGTATCTAAGAGTGGAGGTCCCTTCTTATGTTTCTCACAATAACTTTCATTTTTACCAGAACCCAACTCTTAACCTCATTGAGAAAACAATTAAATTTATATTTTTCTTTTTTTTTTCTCTCTAAATTGGAAGGTTTTGTAGCTTCTATCTCCTGTTATCTTTATTTTAAAAAAACTTTATAGTAACTTTTGAATCAAAATAATCTTCAAAATATGTTTTTTAAACTAGCATTAAAAATGCTCAAAATTATTTCAACCACTTACCTTACTTTCATCTGTCTAATCCAGTTCCATCAAATCTTGATTGTTAATCGAGTTCAGTTCCATCCAATCCAATTATGAAGGACTGAATTTGTAATTTATCCTAAGCTCAAAMAATTGCAAATCCCATCCAATTATGAAGGACTGAATTTGTAATGTATCCTAAGCTCAAACAATTGCAATTTGCAAGTCCCATCCAATTATGAAGGACTGAATTTGTAAATTATCCTAAGCTCAAACAATTGCAATTTGCAAGTCCCATCCAATTATGAAGGACTGAATTTGTAAATTATCGTAAGCTCAAACAATTGCAAGTCCCAAAGGCTGTAATTATAAAGGTGATTTCCCAGTAAAGCTAATTATCTGATATGGTTTATGTKATTAACGCCAAAAATACTTGTGGTAGTGGCATAAACGACGAGAGGCAAAACCACAGCCTCCATGTTTTCCAATGCAAGATGTAATATGTATTCCCTTTGCTTTCCTTCTCTCTCTCCTACACCCTAGTAGAGTCTCTTTACTTTTCRGTTTCAGAAATTTCGTCTCTTTACTCTTCTCTCTCCCTCTCTCTCTCTTGATCCCAGTACTCTGTTTGTTGGATTCCACCCCATTACTGGGAAAAAAAAAATATTGAGATTCAGTGCGGAATGTTGCTCGTCTCTTGAAATTTTGTAGAAAGTAAAAGGATTCAAGAGATACCCATTTGAGAATCATGCCGGAACCATTGGTATCATCGTCCCCCTCGTCGAATGAAGATAATGACAATACTTTCGCAACCAAGAAGAAGAAATCGGAGGAAGAAACGGAGCCCAAACCCTTAGTTGCTGTTGGCCGGAGTAGATCTCAAGCTGCGGCACGTCGTGTGGCTCCGACCACCACCGTTGCTGTTGCTGTGTCTGTTCCTGAAGCTGTAGCTATGACATCTGGTTCACCCACCACTGAAAAACACCTCCCCAACGGAGATCTGTACATTGGAAGCTTTTCCGGTAACGTTCCTCACGGATCTGGCAAGTATTTRTGGTCCGATGGGTGTATGTATGAAGGGGATTGGAAGAGAGGTAAGGCATCTGGGAAAGGTAAGTTTTCATGGCCGTCCGGCGCTACTTATGAAGGCGAGTTTAAGTCTGGTCGGATGGAGGGTTCCGGTACATTCACCGGATCCGACGGCGACACCTACCGTGGCTCGTGGTCGTCTGATCGGAAACATGGGTACGGTCAGAAACGTTACAGCAACGGCGATTATTACGAGGGAACGTGGCGGCGGAACCTACAAGATGGGCAAGGGCGTTACGTTTGGAAGAACGGCAACGAGTACGTCGGAGATTGGAGAAACGGCGTTATTAACGGAAGAGGGATCTTGATTTGGGCAAATGGAAATCGTTATGACGGCAACTGGGAAAACGGTGTACCGAAAGGTCACGGCGTTTTTACTTGGCCGGACGGCGGTTGCTACGTCGGCTGCTGGAGCAAAGAAAACGTCAATTTCAAAAACCCTTTTCAACCCCACCAGATTTCGAATGGAACCTTTTATCCAGGAAACAATAGTGGTGGAAAAGAAGACAAATTAGGGTTTACCCCCAAGCTTTCTGCTCCATTGCTGGAGGATAGTTTTGTGGTTTCAACTGCCAAGAAAAGATCATCTGTGGATGGATCAAGAGGCAGTTTAACAGAGAGAAATTTTCCAAGAATTTGTATATGGGAATCCGATGGTGAAGCTGGTGATATCACTTGTGATATAATCGATAATGCTGAAGCYTCAATGTTGTATCGAGACGCCATGGGATTGGGTCGCGATGAAATTCGACAGTTTAGAAGAAATCCATGTTGTTTCAATGGCGGTGAAGCTAAGAAGCCTGGTCAAATGATCTCAAAAGGGCATAARAATTACGATTTAATGCTCAATCTCCAATTGGGTATCAGGTAACAATCACCAATTTCTTTGAATCTGCTGCAATTTGGTTAATGTTCTTAACCAATTTGGTTAATGTTGTTAAGCTTTCATCACAGGTATTCAGTTGGGAAACATGCTTCTATATTGCGAGATCTTAAATCCAGTGATTTTGATCCAAAAGAGAAGTTCTGGACTCGATTTCCACCCGAAGGATCGAAGCTCACCCCACCTCATCAATCTGGCGAATTTCGTTGGAAAGATTATTGCCCGGTTGTTTTTAGGTATTTTATATAAGCATTTATAGCTTTAAAAACAAAATTTCGATTGCTATAATTCTGCTAATAGATTCTTGACGGGTGGCTTAATGATTTCAGACATTTGAGGGAGTTGTTCCAAGTCGATCCTGCAGATTATATGCTAGCAATATGTGGAGATGATGCTCTTCGAGAGCTTTCTTCACCTGGGAAGAGTGGGAGCTTCTTTTATTTGACACAGGATGATCGATTTATGATCAAAACTGTGAAAAAGTCCGAAGTTAAGGTTGGTTTTTGGAACCATTTATGGAATACAATCTTGATTATTGTTTAWTTGAAACTAAAGTTGTGCAATTTACTTTCAGGTGCTAATCAAAATGCTTCCAAGTTATTATCAACACGTTTGTCGGTATGAAAACTCTCTTGTCACAAAGTTCTTCGGCGTCCATTGTGTCAAACCCGTTGGTGGCATAAAGGTATTCGGTGGTTTAAAGCTATAGGGGAGGGTCCAACCGAAAACCGCAAATTATTTTGAACTAATTTTATTGTGTATTCATCGATAGATATACATTATATGAATTTCATCAAAATATGTATACCRTTAATATACCCAAAAAACTTAGTTCCTTGGTTTTCAAAATATTTGCGGTTGTCGGGTATTAAATCTATAAGATTGTTTCAATTGCCTACATTTGAGACATTGTCTAACTCTGTCTATTCGTTGCCATTTTTAGACTCGGTTTATTGTGATGGGAAATCTATTTTGCTCCGAGTATAGAATCCATAGACGATTTGATTTGAAAGGATCATCACATGGTCGCACGACCGATAAACCGGAGGATGAGATTGATGAAACCACCACWCTTAAGGACCTCGATCTTAATTACGTTTTTCGTTTGCAACAAAGCCGGTTTAATGAACTAATCAAGTGAGTATACTTTTCATGATTGGGGTATTTTCCGTTCGACTCAGTAGTTTGTTGTTGCTCATATGTTTGTGTTGGTTTTGTGTTTTCAGACAAATCAATAGAGATTGTGAGTTTTTGGAAGCGGAGAGAATAATGGATTATAGTCTTTTAGTTGGCATGCACTTTCGTGATGATAATACCGGCGACAAAATGGGATTGTCGCCATTTCTGTTGCGAAATGGTAATTTTCTTGCCTATGGATGAAAATATATTCATTAGATCTTGAAGTTTTCTTGAAATTTCAAGTTTTCTTTGTATTCTGTATCTTGATTTCAGGAAAGAGTGATTCATACCAAAATGAAAAGTTCATGCGAGGCTGCCGGTTTCTCGAAGCAGAATTACAAGAYATGGACCGTGTGCTTGCTGGCCGGTATGTTCCCTTATTTGTCCTTTTCCGGTAGGAAAAGACCAAAAAAACGAGGACTTTCATGTCTCCTCATCAGCCAATGCMCGTTTAATTGCCGCTCTAGAGATCAGGTCTGTGTACATCTCTGACCCCACCTTCGGTGGGATATACGGGGTTTTATGTCTTCCCCATCAGCCAATTTCCCATTTAATAATGGTTGCATTGGTTTTTGGTTAGAGGTTAGGTCTGTGTACATGATATCCAYTTCGAGATGGGATATACTGGGTTCGTTTGGCTTTTATGTGTCCTCATTAAATGGTGACATTGCCATGGTGGTTGAGGTTGTCACCAGAAATTTTAATGGTCTTTATGTTGGACAGCCATTTTCTTTCAATGGAGTTTTGATCAAATTCTTCCTGGTGGTTGGAATAGTTAATTTTTGATGTAGTTCAACAGACAACATATGTTTGTGGGGGACATGTGTATTCATTATTATTGCCTTCTAATTGCATACATAGACAAGATTTCTTGCTTTGACTTTGACCTTTTCTACCCAAATTTGTCAAAAAGAATCGACCATATTGCCGAAAATGCTCTTCTTCGTCCATATGGCATGTTGTTGACCTAATCCAAGAAGAAGTAGCTTATTCAAATAAAAAAGCCCACTTTGATTAGTCACACACAAGCCATCTTCTTTGGAAAGCCGGTTCAATTAGCGTTTCAATAAGTTYTTTTCCAATTAATTTWTAACATGTATTTTTTATTCATTTTACATCGCGCTAGGTTTATTATTATTATTTTTATTATCAAATGTAAGTAGTTTATCAGCTAACATATGGTTTAACAAGAATTTGAATATTTATGGTTTTGCAGGAAGCCATTGATCAGGCTGGGAGCGAACATGCCTGCAAGAGCGGAGAGGATGAGCAGGCGAAGCGATTTCGATCAATACACTCCTGGTGGATTCAACAATTTGACACCTTCAAGAAGCGGTGAAACGTACGAGGTGGTACTCTACTTTGGAATCATCGACATCTTACAAGACTACGATATCAGCAAGAAGCTGGAGCATGCATACAAATCCTTGCAAGCCGACCCCACATCCATCTCGGCTGTGGATCCAAAGCTTTATTCCAAACGGTTTCGTGATTTCGTAGGCAGAATCTTCGTGGAAGACAGGTGACAATTGATAATCACCCGAAAACAAGCTCTCACACAACCCGTCTGTGTAATATGATTCAATCACGAACGTTTTGAATCTGTCGGGATTTATATACGAATCGATGGATAACGACTGCTGAGTTTTGCGGAATCGGCCGAGGATGATCGGATTTCGGGTTGTTTGTAAATGTTGGGTGAGGGAGGGAGGATTATGTGTTTTTATTTTTTTTTCTTGAATTATTTTCCTTGAAAATTTTTGTGGGTAGCAAGGAATTATGTTAAAAAAGAAAAACGTTATAGGAGGAGGAGGGTAGTGTTTGGGAATAAGAGAAAATGTACAGGGGTTTGTTATAGAGTGGATGGAACGATGATGGTGGATTTTTTCTTTGGAGGTTAATTTGGTAATTTCACTTACATTTTTTTTTTCTTCATGAAAGCAGGACCAGAACAGGAGTGTGTGTGGTCGAATGACTTTTGCTTTTGTTTTGGGAGGGGAACAGAAGCTTGCATGAAAAGCAGAGAAAGCAAATAACCCCCCTTGGATTTTTTTTGAAAAAAAAACACACTTGGTGGGTGAAATTACCCTTTTGCCCTTCTATCTATTTTCACATATATAGATATATATATTTTATCTGCCCTTTTAAACTGTTTGTCCGTCTATCTACCTATCAATTCGGTGTTTTAAAAACCAAAGAATGGGGTGGTAACTTTCCTATTTTGGCCTTGTGTTAATATCTCGTTTATTTATTTGGTGTTGAAAGATGAAAATTTTGGAACACAAAAACGCATACTACCATTATGTTATGCCCTTGTGTTATGAAAAAAGGTGAAGTGGATTAGGTTAGGAGGAGTGTAGGACGTGACAGCACGTTGTCTGTTGTTTGTGCGTAGCCGGCCTTGGAGGGGTTATAAGGTCATTTCAAGTGGCCTATGAAGGTCAATTTGAGGGGGTGGGGTAGAGAGAGGGGTAAAAGCGTAATTAAGTGGAAACAGGGTGGCTGGCTGGCTTTTACCTACTTTATTGACCAAGATTGGCCTCTGTTTTCGTGTCTTATGCTTTCAGAGATCCGAAGCATGGATGGAGTCTGATTCTGAATTCCTAATGGACTTGTCATTTTTTTCCTAGTTTTGTGCTTCAAATTTTCTTTTTTTATTATTTAATTAAAAATTATAGATATTGTTCTTCAATTTATAACACTTAACGTAAATTATACTTCAAAACTTATTTTGATATACCAGAAATTGAAGACGACTTGGAGTATTAGATTTTGATTTTCAACAGATTTTGAAATTTTACGCCTTAGGAAACATAGACAATTGGGAGTTTATAAGTAAAGGCTTAGCATTGTTTGACAAACACAAGCTTGATTATTTTTTGAATACACGTTTGAATTGATAAAAACTAGCTTATCCAAAAGTTACTTGTAGTAGCTTTTTGTCCAAAAAAAATAATAATAATCAATTATAACCCTAATTAATATGTATCGTTATTAATTATAAATAAATATTAATAAAAAACCAATTACTACTAATATTAATTGTAAGTTATTATATGTTCACGACACGTATTACACATGAATATTGCTAAGTAATATGTAAACCTACAGGGCGACCCACAAAAAATATTTTTGCCTCCATTTGTAGAAACCCGAGTTAAATCATGATGATTGTTAAAATAATTATTCTTGGAGGATAATTATGAAAACRTTTTAAAATGTAATTATGATAATTACAAGACATTATCTGTAAGCGTTTATGATTATATTAAAGYTTAAGATAATTTTATAAATGTTGCAGATAATTACAAATTTTTATTTATATAATCTATAATTCAGACTATATAAATAAGGTTATAAACTAAATCAATTTTAACTAACTGAATTATTTACATTAAGTTATTAGTTAACAAATAAATAATATAAACCTTTTCTTTTATGTAATACATATATTAGATCTACAGTTTTGGACTAGCACCTGGTGGAGACTATAAGACGTGTTTGTGTGTAGACTACCAATAGAGGAAATATACATTGATTTCCAAGTGCTTCGTGAGAACCAACCATATATGTGAAATGTACATCTCTAAACCCCTATGGTGTGTTTAGAAGTAAATTAAATGCATAGAAAAGTTTTTTTGATTTTATCGTAACTTTAAATTAATTTTCCATCGTGTTTTCGAGGTTACAGAATTGTTCAAAACCCAATAGTGGTATTAGGGCTACTTTGATTGCGTTTAATGAGATRGAACCAATTGATACGACATTTAAATCAAATTAGACTCTCTTCCCATTTTGACACGTACGTTGGTCTTGGTTTCGTCGATTATGAACTCTTGCGTATACACTACCGTCACTGACCAGGATGCCACTGACAGCCGCTGGTCGCAGACCGTTGATCGCCTGTTGTTGGTTGTTGTCACTGGTAAACAATGTTGGTGCTGCTCCCTTCAGTAGCCAACACTGAGCTAATGTGTGTCAACCACCAGACCCACCACCAAAGGCGGTTGGTGTTGGGTTTGGTTTCCCTAGTCGTTGCTAGTCTTGACCATGTGATTGGTGTATTTTGGGTGCCACCRCTAGCCATTGGCCTTATGGTTGTGGGTGTCAGGCATAGTCGCTGCCTTGAATTGACTTCATGTAGTCTGTCACAAATAGGTCAACCGGTTGTGGGCTGGCATCGAACCAATTATCGTGCCGCTTGGTCTCGTGCCGTTGTGTGGCCGTGTTGCCGCCCTTTGTGGCTAGTTCTTTGGCCGACTTGTTATGCCATTGCTGGAAGGTGCCTCATTGACGTGGGTCCCAATAGTGCAGATGTTGATCTCGACTGTTGCTGAATGTCTTTTCTCACCCGGCTTCGACCATGGTTTCTTGTCGTGCGCCGACCACCCTTGTCCGATTAGGATCTATTAGGTSGGCAGATGCCCTAAACGATTGGGCCGTGGGCTCTCTAAAATTCCCAAAGGGTTGTGATTTTTTTTGGGTCATGGGTCGATGTTCCACTGGTTTGGATTGGGTCGATTTAAATTCGTTTTTGCCATATAACAATTTGTTCCCAATATTTGGGCTTTTTATTTATGTTATTAAATTCTAGCCAAATATTTATTTTATGTTAAAAAAATATGTATAATATATGGTTTGCCCCGAAAGACCTGTGATTTGGTTTGGTTGTTTTATTTTATTTTGGAAAATTAAAATRTATAATTGTGATGGGTTGTAATTTTATTTTAATTTTCTATATAGGGACAAACTTAAATAGAATAGAATAATGTTGTATTTTCTATTTTAAATTTGTAACCATTTGAAGACGGCATTCCAATAAATCAAAATAGAGTTCCAGAGTTCACCAAAATGGCGAAACTAGTTGAAGCACAAAGACGTCCTTAGATTGACCGTGGTTRTTGTGTTGGCTCACAAGACCAAATCAAGGRTAAGATGATATATTATCTATTGTGGTTGTTTATTTTGTGTTTTTATTTATTTATTTTTGCTTACAATTATTGTTACAATGTTTGSAAAACCGTTTTAAAATAAATTCAAACACAAAATTAAATTTCAAATTGTTAGATAAGTCTTTAAAAACAAAGATTTTAATTTTAGTTAAAATCAAACCTTTTAAGAAGGATAAATGTTTTCTAAAATTTAAAACTTTCACAAATGCAAACTGAATGCGTGCCATTTAAGATACTGTCAAGGCTTATAGATTCTGATATGGCCAGTGTCAAGCTAATCATGCCAGATGATTGTAGTGTGACACAAGATGACAAAATAACGAGATTTAAGTAAACAGTTGCATTAGTGTCACACCCCGYTAAAGCGGAAACACGAGGAGTGATAGTTCAAGATTTCACAGCGAKAGGGCGAAAACAACACCAATTGTCCATTCAAATACATAACATATAAAGCCCGAAATTTACATCATACAAGTTCAAGTTTTAACAACATGGTGTAAGCAAAGTTTTCAACAAAAAGATTTAAAAAAAAATGGATGATGTCGTTGTGCCCCGAACATAAACGATATCAGTTCATCTTTCTTACCCCTGAAAAGCATAATAAAACAAAGTCAACTACAAAGAGTTGGTGAGTTCACAAGTTTTCAATATCATAAACCTCCTTTTTGCATAAGTGAATATGAGCAAATTAAAATTTTTAATGGCACTTGATTTACTTTGAAAGAAATTCTTGGATTGTTCAAGACAATTTGTACTCTAATTTTAAGTATATAAAGAGCCACCACTAAACCTTTCGACCCCATAAAACTGTTTTTAATTCTACCTTAGCGGTGRGACTAAAACCCCACATATGTAGAACCTTCATTTTTTAAGTATAGTGCACCCTTACCTGTAGTTTCTGGGTGGGATTGCTATCCACACCCCTATTTATCGGTTTTTAGGTGGGATTATCAGTCCAAATAGCGCTATCCACAAATACCCTCGGCTCCTCACTTAAGTTAATAGTAGTGTACAAACTTTTGTGTTACATTTTACTCAATATAACTATTAGCGTACATGCCTTAGTGCCCACAACATCAAATTAACAAAATTTCATATTCATAATGAAAATAGTTCATATAATACATTCAATCATGCTTTTCACCCCAAAACGTAATAAATACTTTGAAAGAGGGGCTGTGAATACTCACTCTTTTGCAAMGCTYCGYTATTCAAAWACACGATYCGTTCCCCACAAGTTGGCTTAAYGTTTCCCTATCAAAGAAGAATATCCAAAACCGTCACTTATGGGTTTAAAACTASTTATGGGGATTAACAAGTCCTAAGTCCATAATTGTCTACATATGTCCAACTTGATTATCTATAGTCCAAATATACATAATGCACATATGCTCGTTAATGTAGTAATTTATACCAGAAGTAATGTTATAATCCAATAAATGATCAAAAATTATAAAATCAAATAAATTCCAGAATTTCTCTTTTGGACAGAAACTAATAGTACTAAAAATGATCAATTTATAGAGACTTCTAAAATTACATAGTTTCCTATATTTTTTTATGGGATATAGAACTGAGTTATGGTCATTGTGACCAAATTTCATGCATTTTGGACATGTAAAAATGGTTCAAATAATTTATGCAATACAATATGTCACAATTGTTACGGCAGATTACACCATGTAAGTAAAATACTCATTTGAAGAGTTCTACTAAGTGTTTTGCAGAATTTCAAGTTGGATTATAAACTCAACACCTAAATGAAACTTTTAAGATACTAATCACTCATTTTGGATGAGTTAAGAGGAAGATATGRCACCATAAAGTTACATGCACACATCTGTCATTAGTTGACAGATTGCATACTTAAATAAATTGGTTAATGCCTCAAAACTTCATATTTTTGAGTGAAACTGGGTTCATATGAACTCTAANCGATCCTTGA